GCATTTGTCATTTTTATTTAATTTCTTTTATTTTCTTAAATGTGTGTGTGTATATATATAGTATTTATAGAGTTTTAGCTTTTAGTTTTAATTACTTTTTCTTATTTGTAAGTCGCTTTGGATAAAAGCGTCTGCTAAATGAATAAAAGTAAAGTAAAGTAAAAGTATATATATATAAAACAAAAAGTACCGATAAGAATACCGTTAAAGTACCGAATCGATAAGCAGTATCGTAAGAGTAGTAATACCGTTAAAACCTTAACGATACCCATCCCTAGTCGCTCGTATAGTTTTGAATGGGGAAAAATCCAACACTCAATCGCAGAAAGCCCCGACTGGAGAATTTGATGTTTCCCCATTCAAAGAGATAGGAGCTGCACTTGCATGCCCGAGTGGCGTTTCAAAGATGGCCGCCGAGTGGCATGACTTGTCTTAAAGAAACTTTGGTAATACAGACCCTCTCATCTCCCTATAGTAAGACAATCTCTGTTTGTATCCAGTGTAGACAAGATAGCGGGCAGTGATTGTGATTTCTATTTGCTTTTGATTCGACGCGACGCTCGCATTCAGCATGATTAGCGCCCATAGTGGGCCTATGGTGATGTCTTGGTCTGGAGGCGGTGTTTATGCAAAAGACTGGTGCTAGCTGACGTCACCTTGCCCCACTGGATCCAAAACGAGCCGTTTTTGGAGCTTGATTAAATAAATGCTTTGTTTATAATGAGGAGAACATCTTAAGCTATGAAACTGGCAGGATGTTTTAATGGTACAAAGACCTCTTATATGCCAAAAGATCAAGGCAAATTTGATTTCTCATGCCATGACTCCTTTACCGTGTCTGTCTGTGTGTGAAACAGGGCTCCACTGAAGCTGCTCTGCGAGACCATGAAGCACCAGATCATCTCCCGCGCTTTCTACGGCTGTATGTATCACATCAGGCTCATGGTCTGCTGATGCACTCGTGCTCGTTCTCATGACGTGATGTGTGTGTTTTTAAGGGCTGGCGTACTGCCGTCACCTGTCCACCGTCCGCACGCACCTGTCTGCTCTGGTGAACCCCACTATCATTGAGCCCGACATCCCCTATGATGCCAGAAGCGGTCTGTCCGCAGAAGTGTGGAAGACCTTTCTACAGGACAGCACTGTATGTGACATTCACTATCTAGTGCACTTGATCTATAGCCTCTTGATGTTTCATAAATGTCACCCTGGACCACAAAACCAGTCATAAGTGTAAATTTTTTGGAATTGAGATTCATACATCATCTGAAAGCTGAATAAATAATCTTTCCATTGATGGTTTGTTAGGATAGGACTGTTAGGATATTTGGCTGAGATACAACTATTTGAAAATCTGGAATCTGAGGGTGCAAAAAAAAAAAAAAAATTTGAGAAAATCGCCTTTAAAGTTGTCCAAATTAAGTTCTTAGCAATGCATATTACTAATCAAAAATTAAGTTTTTATATATTTATGGTAGGAAATTTACAAAATATCTTCATGGAACATGATCTTTACTTAATAGCCTAATGATTTTTGGCATAAAAGAAAAATCGATCATTTTGACCCATACAATCTATTGTTGGCTATTGCTACAAATATACCCGTGCTACTTATGACTGCTTTTGTGCTCCAGGGTCACATATGTTATCATAAAGCATATTCTGAATCTGAATAAAGCCTGTAATATGGCACTGGCTGTAATATAAGACCGCTGTGCAGGCGTACGAGGAGAAGGAGCTGCTCCGGCTGGTGTATTACGGCGGAGTGGAGCCGACTCTGCGTAAGGAGGTCTGGCCCTTCCTTCTGGGCCACTATCACTTCAGCATGAGCCTCACAGAGCGCAAAGAGGTGAGCAGAAGTCACCGTTTGATCTTTTTAGTGCGCTTCGGGCGCACGTCAGAACAGCGCGTGAATGAAACTTTTAACCGGCAAGGCTTTAAAACACATGCAAATAATGTACTTTTGTGATTGCGAATAAGTGCAGTGTCCCGTGAGAGCAACTCTATCGCCGAGTTAACACTGAAGTGAATGTATGTGGCATTGTACATTATATTGATACGGAGGAGGTGCCAGAACTGCAGCTGATAGAATGTGCGCTGTAGCACGATACTATGATATTTCTTCAAAAGCAAATCGTGGAGACATTTTAATCGTCCACGATCAAAAATCGTCATATCGCACACCCCTATGTTATCATTGGCATACTGTCAGAGTTTCTAATTCTAACGTTTAGTAATATTTCTATTAGTGCTGTCAAATGATTAATCGCGATTAATAATCGCATCCAAAATAAAAGTATTTGTTTGCGTAATATATGTGTGTGTTCTGTGTATATTTATTATGTATATATAAATACACACACATACAGGTGCATCTCAATAAATTAGAATGTCGTGTGCAGCATATTTAAAAGAGGTTTTACCAAGCTCAGTTCTGACAAAAGGTATACAGAGATTGTAAATTGATTGAGAACGCAATGAATGATTTCCAATTAAAGTCCTTTGTATAAAACAACAGAGATACTTTGGCAAATAACCCAAAATTGCCTTATATATCAACAAATGCCAGTGCATTTTTCTCCGTATTCTCATACTGTACACCTACCTGTACAGTATGTTTTGAAAATATTTACATGTCTATATTTATATGAATATAATTTATTAGTTAGTTTAGTTTATTGTCCTTTCGGAAATTCTTTTTGTATCTGTGGCAACTCTTCAGTGATCAACAACAATAATTAACAAATACAAACATCAACAGGTTACAACACATTACAAATAAATACAACCAGCATCAAACAACATCCCTCTCACAACAACAGAATCACTGCCATAGATGTAAAATGACAACTGTAATATCACAAAAATGTATTTAACAGAGCTATACTGGATGATATGAATATCTTTGTGCACGGGCAGTCCGTAATAATGGTACCCTGTAACTTCGACCAGATGGTAATAACTCCTATTCACCACAAAGAGGATGTGATGCATCCCGAAGAATTGCATGGCTTTTCCTCACAGCTTGAAATTCACAGTTTTATCAGACTGTGCTGTTGTTTACCTGCAATCTTACTAGCCATATTAACAATTTTATTTAGTTTGTTCTTATTTACTACAGACATACACACAGCACACACACATATATTATGTAAACAAAAACTTTTATTTTGGATGCGATTAGTCGCGATTAATCGTTTGACAGTACTAATTTCTATTCAAAATCGCGATTCTCTTTTTCTAAACAATAAAATCGTAGCAAAACATTAAATTCTAATTAATCGATAAAATCTGAAAATCGCCCAGCCCTACCGACTGGTAAGCATAACCCTGCCGTTCTGTGCAGATGGACGAGCAGGTTCGAGCCTGTTATGAGCAGACCATGAGCGAGTGGCTGGGATGTGAAGCCATCGTGCGTCAGCGGGAGAAGGAGCAGCACGCCGCCGCTCTGGCCAAATGCGCGTCAGGCGCCAGCGTGGACCACGGCTCGCGCCAGGACTCCACCATCAGCACAGACGTAAGCGCTGGCGCTCGAGTCGCCTGTACTCGTGCGCTGAGGTTTGCATGCAAGTTTACTGACTGACGCTGTGTTTCTCTCTGCAGTCGTCTCAGAGCAGCAGCTCCGAGAAACAGAGTCACGCCAGATCACACAGCGACTCCAACAGCAGCACTCAGGTCAAAACACAACCTACGTCATTGCTCTCGCAGATCTTATTCATGCCTGCTATAATTATTATTGAAAAGAAAAAAATCTCATGTACATAAGTATTCATGACACATTGCCATGACACTCAAAATTGAACTCAGGTGCATTCTGTTTCCACTGATCATCCTGGAGATGTTTCTACAACTCGACTGGAGTCCACCTGTGGTAAATTCAGTTAATTGGACATGATTTGGAAAGGCACACACCTGTCTATATAAGGTCCCACAGTTAACAGTGCATATCAGAGCACAAACCAAGCCATGAAGTCCAAGGAATTGTCTGTAGACCTCCGAGACAGGATTGCGTCAAGGCACAGATCTGGGGAAGAGTT